TGGATTTCCCTTTGGACTCCCCTGGACTAGTTTGCCATGGCCACGCCCCCCCAAGCACCAGTGCACAGTGCACAATCACGCCCCTCTGTTTGCCAACCTGCCCAGTTCCTCGTCGTCTCCTCCGTGTCCGTTTCCACTTACTTCTGGATTATACCGTCTGCATGGGGACCTGACCTACGCATCGTTACATTCTGACTGACTACTACCATTCCTACTAGCTGCGGGAACATTTTTGTCTATCTTTATTTTTTATGTTTTTACATCACAGGATGCTTAGACAGAAAATAGAAGGGAAGAGAAAGAATACTGAATCTTATTGTCCTTGAGATGTCTAACTCCAGCCCCACTAAAGAATTGTAAAGAATTCTGTTAAATTCTTAACAATTAAGAATTGTTAAAGTTGTGATGTGACAACATATAAACATAAACCTTTCAGTACGATTTAAAACTTTTTCTCATCATCATTTAATACTTCTAACGGAACTAAATTTGTAGCTTTTGTGCATTCCATTTCAGCTCTTGCAACACATCCATGACTGTTTAGTATCACTTTTTCATGCTATTACTATATTGCACTTAAAGGAATAATATGCCTTTATTTTATGTCACATGTTATCACACTCTCATTTACAAAGACAACCAGAAGATCCAGCTTTTCAGCAGGCCTTTACTGGAGTGAAATACGTTGCTTAAGAGTACAACAGCAGCAACCCACCTACCATCTGAATCCTCCATCCTCCAGTCTGGATTCCAGATCTCTAAGGACCACTTAACACTGCTGTCTTATTAGTACTCTAGTTTTATGCTTTGCACATTGCTGGTGGTATTCAAAGCCACAAATCCAACCATTCAAGTAAAATTTGAACACATCTGATGTGTACAGTATGTTAAGCTTCAGTAAACTTAATGGGAAGCTTTGGACTGATGAAGGCTAAAAGTCAAATTGGATCCAGTCTGGAGTCACTTCTTAAAGGAAAAGGTCTTCAAGTTTGGACAAGTACAATGCTGAAGGTGAAGAGTCACTATCAGGTTTTGTGAAATCCCAATTAACTTTCTTTGGACCCAAATGGGACAAAATAGTATTCAGTGACATATTGCATCAGTAATAAACAACATGGTCTATTCCTTGAACAATTTGCTTTCAAAAAGTGCTAATCATTCTGATTATTACGAAATGTGGTAGAGAGATAAATTGTTATACTCTTTAAAACACAATGGTGTTAGTTCATTTAACAAAACGTATTTTATGTTCTCTGATGTTACATAATATCTATGAGGTTTCTGAAAGAGATTGTTAAAATAATTTAATGCTGAATGCAAGTTGTCCTTTCTTTTTCATTGGTTACTAAAATTCTCATTAATTTGTTGTTCTATCCTTACATATTGTGCTAGATCAATTGTCATAAAATATTAAAAATTGTGCATGTTAAAATAATGTTCACCATGGAAAAATTCTCTATTATCTAAAACGACTTGGTAACCAGAAAATAGTTCACTAGAAACTCCTATCTCTGGAGATTTTTTCAAAGTGCATGAAACAAAAGAATGAATTATCAAACTCATAATTCTACCAGAAAAAAATATATTTTTTGTAATATACACAGTAGGTGAATGCATGTTTCACACTGTATATATTTTCAACTCCAACCTTCACAAATGCAAATAGACTAGGAAGACTGCAATTATTTTCCCTGTGAGTCTAATCTTTGTCTGAAATTATTCTGTTAACCTTTTTGGTACTTCATGGCTTCTTTACTGATCACAAATTCATTACAAAGAGCATTCAACACGATTTTCAATAAATGACTGCATCCTTCTAAAAGAAGAATATCACACTACCCTTCTTGAACTTACCTAAAATAATGCCTGGTCTTGCCCTTTTGGAACATCTGCAGTGATGCATGTTTTTTGTGTTTTATTTTTCCAGAATGCACTTATTTTTCAGCACAACATACCTCGGTCAGCTGATCTACGCTTCTAACACTTTACAGAGTTTAATCAGAGAATGACAGGCATCCCATATTATTTCCAATTAAGGTTTCCAGTACAATAAGTGGCATCATCTTCAAGGTCATTGAAAAATTGCATGACTCGGCTGTAAAAGACTGTGCAAGGCATTTACAACTTAATGTTTTAATTAGACAACAGGGGGTGTTTCAAAGACACCTTTTGCAAACAGTAATGTGTAAATCCTGCCCAATTGTCAGTTTTAATATATAAAATAAGTATATTTTTTCTCTGTTCACTGAAGTTATTGTTTTTTGTTTGCCTCGATTAAAATAGGTAATCAACACATAAAAATTTCAATTTTCAATTTTATTTCTACCTTACACAAACTGTACAACACAGCACATATTTGTTTATGAAATAGTAAAATTTTAAGGAAACTCCAATGTACAAACTACTTGAAATGAAAAAAAATGCATAACTCTTTATCGTTAAAAAAAATCTAATTTACAATACAGTCTCATATTACTAATGTCGTTCAACACAAAATTCAGTGCACATTACAAAACACATCAAGTACAAACAAGGAAAAAATAATTATTTTTCACAAAACTTCCTGAGCAAACAATGCATGGCATATAAATTAAATATTAACAATACAAATAAATAAGCAGAATTATAAAGTTTTACAATTATCATGGATTTCAAAAAATGTCTGATAAAAGTTTAATTTATTAAAATTACAGTTTAATGAGTTGATTCATTTTGTATAAAATAAAACATCTCTTTGCATTTTAGCAAATGTTCATTCTGTTGGCAGGTTCGTGTAGTTTTTATTAATTGTTAAGTTGGAACTGCACAAAATGTACTGGCCTAGTCATACACAACATGTAGAAAATTTTAAATATACAAACATTAGTTATGCAACCTAGATGGAAAAAGAAGAATAAACTCACAAATGAGTCCCCAGACTTTGGTTAAACTCAAAAACAAAAGGTACAGTATTTCCAACACTTTTGTCTGTTAGAAAATGCTTTTATTAACACTGATACCAAGGGCTCTAGCCTTGAAAAATGTTAAAATTCAGATAATTATTTTTGATTATTGTAAATTACCACGTATCAAAAGTTCTTAAGGAATATAATACATGTTTCTCCAAAACAAAAAGTTATAAAGCAAATAATCCATCGATGAGAGCACAGTCTCCTCACTAGTCTCACCTAGTCGGAACTCCTCTCATGGACATACTGTATTTGAAATGTTCCAGAAAGTTTCTCCTTTATGGTTGATATGCCAACAATGCAGTGAACTTTGCTCTATTATACAGCCTGCTTTTTCTACACACCAGTGATGGAAACTACAAACAAGGTACTAAGTTGTGGGTTGGCACTCTATAAGCATAAGGGTTTATGTCACTGTAAGGCTCATCATCCCACAAATTAGAAACTAACAAATCAAAAGAATGTTTTAAGCAAAATATGACATACATCCCCCAGGTTACAATGCTTTAGTTTTACTGCAGTTTTCTACGTGTTTTAACTTTGGTGAAAAAAACTGAATTATGGTATATCCATTTATTTATTGTAAAACAAAAGAAATTTAATACAGCATATTGATTTTTCCGAGAAAAGAGACCTGAAATTCATTTTCAGCTGCAGTATACCACATGCCATTTCTTTGAATTTGTGAAAGAAAGGTACAAAAATACCCATATTCAAAGGCCAAAGCAAGAACGTTCTTTCAAATTTCCTTTTTTCAGTTTTGATCCTAAAACGTTTTGCTAAAAACAGAAAGGGTTAGATAAATCAAAGTAGGGCAAGTCTGTGCTATATTATCTGAACTGGAATCTTAACAGCATTATGTGCCTCAGGAACATTGAACAGTTGGAAGATCATAGCCTTATTAAAAATCAAATTAAAATGTCTTATTATTGTTTTATTGTTCTAACGTGAAATAATTAAGTGTATAAACCTGACATGGTGTACCATAAAACAGTAATAATAGTGATACTTCATTTACACATTTACACTTAGGCACATATACACACATTTTAGTGTGTTCACAAAAGGCAGTTCATATCAATATAGTTTAGAAAAAATATTCAAATAAAATTAAAGAACTTTAGAAAAAAGTGGGATATTCTTTGTCACTAGAAATCAGATCCTCAGCATAGACTTAGTTCTGTGGTTGAAAACTGCAATCACTACCTATTAAAAATGACAGAATAAGATCTCCTGGTAAGTGCCAGTCAAATAATTGCTATGCCAACAATAAGCATGTTATTTGACACTACACTTTTAAAAAGTGTGATTTTTAAAAACCTTTACGTTTAGTATTCTTTTTGTACAGTACATAATACTGTTTTAAGTCTGATAAGTGTCTGTGTCAATAAACTAAAGCAATTAATAGAAAATAATTTGGGGTTTTTATCGTAGCCAGAAAGCATAATGTCAAAAGCCATTATTGCTCTGAACAAGTTTGAAAAACATCTATCACTAGAGGGCAGCAGTATACCATGTTTTTGCTCGAGAAGTTCCATGAAATTTGCTGTTTTAAAATAATAAAAAACCTTATGAATATTAAACGGAAAGCTGTTAAAATGTTCTTTACAATGTGCAGAACGTGCAAGTGCCTCAGACTGCTGCCCACAACATTTCACATGAAATCTGTTAAGTTTCAAAGGTCTGTTAGGTTCTCTTCATTTCCTATTTTATTTTTCTTCAGTAACTTAAATATGGCAGGAATAAATTACAAATTCAATAACCTTATATATTAAGACAATAAATAATTAAATATAAAAATACACATAATTTACAGCAAACTATAAAAAAGAAACTAAGTGCAGGGGGTAAAAATCCACTAAAATAAACATGAAGTGAATTGCTATTAAAGTCCATTACATTTCACGGCTGGTATTGGTATAAATATGCGTTTAGTGCAATGTGTCTGCTGTAAAATGGAACTGCATTTCCAAAAGTCTTCTCATGTTCATGCAACCAAACCAGTCCATCTCACAGAGTCGAGCTGTTCAGCAGCATTGTAGCTTTGATGCATTTCGTGCTGACTAGGGAGTGGGGAGCTTACACATGAATGCCCTTTACAGCCTGTTTGATGTTCTCAAGGAGAGCTTTACATTCAGGAGAATAATCACGCTCTGAATTGTTATACATGTCTGTCAGAGTGTTCACATAGGCTTCAAAATTCTGCTCACTGATTGGCCCCTGCAAAATATTTTAAAAAGGAAGTTCATTTACAGTAGACAAGTCTATTTAAATAAAAAGTGCTCTGCATGGTTCATTAGGAAACTACATTCTGCTTTGTTTTTAAATCAATTCACATTACATTTCTAGAATATTTTACAAATCATAGGGTACTTCACAAAACAAAGCTTGAAAAGGAGCAATTCTGGCAAGGTGGATTTCAGTTACTGGCCAAAGAAAGTGTCTGTATGTTGGATTTCATCATGGATGACACTGGCATTAAGGGTTTATCAGCAGGAGGATCAAGAGCTTGACAACTTAAAGTGGACTTTGTGAATCTTCTGCTTGGGCAGAACTGACTTTTTTCACGTCTAAAATACTGGTATTCATTTTTACGGGAGGAGTTCACAAGTATTTTTTTGCATCTCTTTGGGCTCTCACAGTGTGTCCCCAGTTTCACCAATCCTGTCTCATTCTCAATTCAATGAGAAATGTTACTTTGACACTAAGGGTCAGAAAACAGTCTGTTTTCCAGACGTCTGGGGAAAAAAATAGACAGGTGGCAACCCTGTCTCTGGCTCTTTTCTGCATCTGCCAAAGTGCACAACAGAATGCAAGGGTCAAGAATGTCAAGACACAAAATGAAGGGCCAGACCATGTGGTCTGTGACTACATCAGAAAGATGTCGTAGTCAACAAAAAGCTCCAGAGAGAGTCAGCGACATTTTAGACGTTAAGTTAGATGACAAGTTGATTTAATCCTTGGAAGAGATCTGATGTAATGTAGTATGTTGGAGTGATAATGGAATTCGGAAAAAGTTAAATTGAATAAATCTCTTTATATAATAAATATCTTTAAATGATGTTAATTTTAGCATCTTTTTATCAGCATTGGCAGAGGTTTCTGTCATTATCATTTGAAGCACAGTACCATTTCTTTACTGATAATAAGACGTACTCAAGATATTGTTGATGGTCTTTGTCAACTTTCTCGGTACAGGCTTTTAGTTCAATGTTATTCAGAATTTGTGATATAATCCTTACAGTTATTTACAGTAAAGTGTTGATAACATAAAACTGCTAAGAAAACTGTATTTTTCTTGAAAAAACAGCTATAAGAGACATGTTTTACCATATTTCTATTGATGTTCACACATGAGATTTACAGTAATTTGCGGCACTAGTGCTCTGTGTGCTTATTTAATGGTTGAAAACATTATAATAAGCGTTTTTATGCCATACACCATACACTGTATGTGTAGTTACACTTTTCATTAAAATATATATAAATACAAATTTAAAAACTTAAACAGGGAATAAAAATTACTTTTTCTAAGTACAGTACTTAAAGTGTTTAAAGGGATACATCACTGAGAAACATTACTTCAACATACAGTATATTACTGATTTGGATTATTCTGCTTTGTAGTTTTTTTTCTTTCAATTCATTAAAACTATGAACTCCAGACACATGTACAGTATGTTTGATGTTTTACCGAATGCTGAGGTAAAACACACGTCAGATATTTCTTCAATTTCTGAAAAAAATCTGGTTTTCCTCATTTTAAATGTAATTTTCTTTGGAAAGACCTCGGTTATTTATATCTGTATATTAAGAGTGGACTATAGAATCTGTTACTAGGATAAAGAGCAGCAGTGGGCTGACCTACCATTTGAGGGAGTTGTATGTCAGTCAGACTGTTGATAAGCGCCTGACTCAAGCGTGCCAACTCCTTCAGCAGGCTGTCATTATGCTGCTCAATCAGCTTGTTTTCTTCTTCAATTGTTTTTAGATTACATTCCATTGATGATATCTGTCATGCAAAAAAGAAAGCATTCAGATGCTTGCTTATAAAACGTCTTCCCCATAGGGCTTGAGAGCCTTCACCGTGTTGACTGCTCTGCTAACCTGAGTCTGGAGTTTCATCATGTCAGCTTCTATTTTCAGGTTGGACTCATTTAACTCCTTGATCTCTTCATCCAGATGTTTCATCTCTTCATCATTTTCTATACCTGTATAGAAAACCCATAAGCATATTACTAATAATTACAGGGAAACTTGCAAAATGGTAGGATTTTTTTCCTTAGCTATTAATGATTGCTACCGTATAAAGAAATTTCAGTTTATCAGGAAAGACAGCATACATCTATTCAATATAGGTGTATATACAGTATAGTGAGAGGCATTCAAAATGCTAGAAATTAGTATTGGAATCATCGGTAACACCTCTCAATCTCTTTTTCTATATAGCACTTTATCAAAAATAACAGTGTATGCAAAATAGCTTGTTTGTCCACCTACAGCATCAATTAAAACTGCGATACATTGAAACATTGATTCCGGCAGATGTTCACAGTTGCCTGTAGGGAAATGGGACCACTCAGCCTACAGCCGTTGACACAGCTCTGCATGAGATGTGACTGACTTCTTGTGGTCTGAAGTGCACTTCCCTTGAGGCTGTCTGATTTGATAAATTATCCAGGTCTGGTTCTGCCATCAGTGATGCTCCAGATGCATGTGCGTCAATAATCATGCCTCCTGTGAGGTCATTTTGATCAGCCTTCTTTCCCATAGCACAGTTCACAAAGGAAAAGGCCTGGGCTGTGATTACTTTATCATTCAAAATCACATGCCACATACTGGGCCAGTCCCACTGCTTTGGACAGGATGGGCCACTTCTATGAAATATAACATTCTGTAATATTTGAGGAAGGCAGTATATATATATACAGCATATGCTGCATACTGTATAAAAACCTGTCATGTTGTTTTTGTCTTCTAAGGAAATTTAAATTTTTTAAGGAACTTTATCTTCAAACCACCATTGCTAAATGTATAGAAAGTATGGATATGATATTTTCATATCACAATGCTAATGAAGATGGAACCACCTCAAAACACTTCTAATTCTGTTTTAAGGGCATTCTGCTAAATAGCTGTTTGTAAAATTAATATTCTTTCCTACTCATATCATGATGTTAAAACACAACATGTGGTCTTATACAGCTAGTCTTACCGCTGCTTGCTTTGAGTTTAATTGTCATCATCTCCTCCCCTGAAAGCTTTTTCTTGATTGACTGAGCATTCAGAGGGCACCCTGACAAGCTGAACAAAAAAAGTACAAAAATTAAAACAAATCAAGGGACAGTTATAACCAACATTAACATATTTATATGAATTAGGTGATGGTTGAGATCTAAAAGGAGATCTAAAGGAATGATGTACGAATATGTAACAATTTCTTGCAAGATTTTGTAATATTAATAAATGACTTTGAGTCCAGTGACTGATACATAACATATAACATGGCTTGGGGTTTATAGATTAATGTATGAACATTTTTCCTTTTCATAGGCAGCAGACAAATGAAAGGAATCAGTGCCTTACCTCCTGTGAGTGACAAAGACATTATTAGCATGACCCAATCCATTACATCCTGGCAGAGGACAATGTGGCAGCTCCTGTTTGCTGACTTTCCAGGAGAATGGAGTTCCATTAATAGAGCTGTCCTTCTGTCTCTTGGCAGCTATAGGGCAGCTTCCTGCACTGCGGTGGGATGTATATTTGCCCGATATGTGACCTTGGCCGTCACAGCCTATTACTGGACATCTAGAGAAAAACAAGGAAAAGTGTTGCGTATGTGTGCCAACGTTCTATAATACCAGTTCATAGCTCAGTAGTCATTATTGGATAAAACAGAAGCACATCACAAATTATTGATATCGTGGCTAATGTACAAAGTGCTAATTTAATGATAATCACAGTTGTTGAAATTCTAAAGGGTGTGCTTTATAAAAAAAATAGACATGCGATGCACGGTGGGCAGATTTTGAAATATGTGTTATTAAACCAAACAAACAAAGGTGCAAGCAAACAAAAGAGGACAGAGATTCCCAGCGGCTGTGCTACGCTTGGTGTTTAACTTGGAGTGCAAGTGATTCATACAATGTGAGAACTGCTCATTTCAATTTTAAGAAAAGCACAAAATAAATATTTTGCATCTATTGGGTATTCCCAGTATATTGAAAGCCATGACTTAGTTTTCAATAACTACTCCAGCTGGGAAGACAAGTTACGATTCTTCAAATTCTTCAAATGTGTAAAAAATGTGTATTGCACAGATGCACATACGCAGACATTCAAGATATAAAATATAACTTGATTTTATTTCAAAAAACATATTTGTAAGTAATTCAATTTAAAAGCTTCTAGAGTTCTACACAAAGCCTGCTCATTTTGTAATCCATATTATACTTTAAAGTGTAGCACTTTTTATTTTTAATAAATTAAAAAACTTAATAAACTTCTGTGTTAGAGAATTAAAGTTGGAAATACTGTGTCCACGGCCTTAACCTATCTTCCTATCACATATTATATATGCAGTATGTGATTCTGCCTTTCCATTAGGTAGAAGCAGAAAGGTACTACTGTATCAGAAAGAAAGCAAGAAGGCTGCCACAAAGAAATGGGTCTGGAATGAGCCGTTGGTGAGAAGTCATTGTTTTTGATTTACTACGGGCCTTTATTTGTTATCAATACATTTAATAAGTCAGTGACACACACCTTGATGAGTACATTACTGATATTTGCTTTGCTCAGCCAACTGTAATGATAAGTCAAACACGCAGTATCTATGCAGTCCATTGTGTCACCTGGCACACAATTGCACTCGTTGGATTTAATTTAATGGATAGGACTGAAGGGCAGGTGATAGAAGCTTTCGCAAATTCATCTAGTAAAAATCAAACAAAGGAAACATACATTTGGAGTCTCTGTTGGAGACTAAGGTAAACTTTACTATAACAGAAATTTCACTCCTGGCCTGTTCTTTTCTTAGTTTTTTACTTTGATTCTTCATCATGAATTGTACTGGGCCACAAAGAGAAGGTTGTTCAGTGTAGGTGCTGTTTATGACTGTTGGGCTCAATGCTATTGTCTGATGACATGACCAACTGCAGAATAAATCAGAATTAAGAGGATTGCATGTAAACACTATCATAAGCCTAAATGTGCAACAGTTACTAATATATTATATCCCAAACCCAAGGACAATTTTCTATCCTCCTGCCTTAATGTGTATTAGATCCATTCCAAATTAATTCATAAGCTCATGACCTGGCATTTATAATTAAAATGAGAAATAAAGTAAGCCATTCCAGATTTAAAAGTAAAGGAGGATACACTTATCATCATTTTAATTTGTATAGGATTCAATTGTATTAGTGCTGAAAGAGCAATATTTTATAGTATGTATACTGTAGGTACATCTGGTATTCGACATACTTGAACCAAACTACATCAGCTTTCATATCTTGAAATAAAACACTATTGCAATCTATAGACTTACAGACCTGATCAATTCTATACAACAGGTTGTTTTCATTATATTTTGCAGAAAATTACACAAAATGTTAAATCCTAAAAATTCCAAACAAAAATATTCCAAATATCTAAAACCAGACTGCAGAATTTAGTTTAAATATATTTGTCAATCAGAATTTTCGTTTTTCTGTAAGTTGGGATATTGAAACCACTGAGGTTCCATCTTTCCATATCTGTCTATGGTGCTAGATTAGTTACAGATTATTGCAGCATTTACTGTATATATTGCTCTATCTGCAGTTTTGCAGTCTGATCGCATGGTGGAACTATGTGGTTACAGTGCTATACCCTCAACGAAATAATTTTTCAGTCACAGGATTCAAATTCATGAGACCAAAACCATCTGTGTTCATTAGATGAGTTGATGAATCTGCAAGATGAGCAAGCAGACTTTATTAAGGATAAAATATACTTCAAATTTATAAAGTACTGTAGGTTTAATTTTAAGAATTGAAACTCTTCTTCATCAACTATTAGTTACTACACAATTTGGCTAAGCAAAGACTGTATATTGGTCAATCCATGTTTTCCAGTTTGTAAAAGGGCATGCTGTCCAGGCCTTAAATGAGTGATTACTCAATGTGTTTACATGCAAGAAATTTGCAGAACACATCTAATAAGTATTTAGAATAATGGGCTGTCAGGCAAGTAGAATTTAATATTCTGCTTTTATTTATGAAAGACTTGCAGGTAGAATTAACTAGAGGGATGCCCTCTTTGAGCATGTGTCATTGAACACTGCTGATATCAGTTGGAAAATAGATGACCAGGTGCTGCAATAACATTCACATTTAATGCAGGAGATGCCACACATTTGTACTGTATGCGATGCAAATCAGAAAATTGCCAAGTGCATTTACTTTACCCAATTCTCAAAATTGTCAGATACAGTATTTTTTTCACCATTGTTAAGAGGTTCCTGTTCAAGTTACTTCAGATACTACTATGCAGCATTTTAGACAATATTTGAAAACTTCTTAGTGCAATGAGCAATCATAATTATCTACAAGATTTTATCAACCTCATTGTTTTTAATGAAATAGCAAAAAGCAATAAACCCAAACTTTAAGACTCTGGATACCCAAATATGTATAGTGAAAGCTTATATTTAACATGATTTTACACTTTATTCCAAATTTACTAATGCAGACATCACTATGCATTCCTCTCTATAATTTCAGGCCCCCAGAATTGTCTGAAGTTTCCATTGGAATTAAATCAAAACATTGTTCCACTTGCAAATTGCAAATTCCAAACATGAAACCTGATGTATGTTTACAAATAGTTTTGCAAATAGGTCATGGCTTTTGATTTTGATATATGCAAAGAGGCCAAAGTGCTGATTTAATCAAAGTCTTAGTCTGCTTTGCTTATCACAGGAGCCTATTCCAGAAAGTAATGGGGACAAGGCAGGATACACCCTGGATGGGATACCCATCCATTTCAGGGCACACAGACACATACACTTGCAACAGTGCCACTTCTCCCACAAGCCAATTAACCTACCAGTATGTTTTTGGATTGTGGGAGGAAACTGCTGCACCCAGAGGAAACCCATGCAAACTCCACATGGATAGCATCCCTTGTCCAGAATTGATTCCAGGAGCCCACTGCTGTGAGGCAGCAATACTAACCCCTGTGTCACTGTGCCACCCCCATTTATATTATAATTTACATTATAATTTCACTTTATTGTTCATCTATTTCCATTCCTCACCTGAATTGCTTTGGGATTTAAAAGCATTTTACTGGGTTTCTAATGTTCACCCAACCCCCCCCCCCCAGTATCACTGGTACATTCTGAGAAATTAAATAATGAATTGTATATTGCTACTTGATTTATAACGTTTTTCAGCTCTAAACTGTATTCCCAACCCACAAACAAAAACAGTTTTTTTTATCCACACTTAATTTCCAAAGTAAATGTTATGCGTAAGTTTAATATACCCCTGTTTCTAAAATGACTGTGTAGCTATATAAATGAAAATTGTATTATTATGTTGCTGATCAATTAACTAATGTTTTAAGATTTTTTTTAATAACAGAATGGGCTTTTAAGCCCCAAAAGAAGATAATCTGATGGACCATATAAAGAACAACAGAGAGATAAGAATGTATTATGATAGGGAAATCTAAGTTATAAGTGTAAAAAATAGGAGTAACACAAGTATATCGTTAATAATGCAAACTTACTTAATTTCTTGCTCTTCCTTCTCATCCTTGTTTGGTGTAAGCTTCAGTCCTCCCTTCCTGGCTCGTGGACAACCCGATAGGCTGAAAGAGATTAAAAAAAGTGAAGCTGCTGCCTGGAAAAATGGTGCAGAAATGGATTTATCTAGAGTAACAGCACTAATTCCAGCCAAGTTAGGCTGAAGGCAGGAGTATCACTGCTGTGACTATGAAGAGGACCAAACTTTTGGCCAGATCTGAGGTGTTACCGCAGCTGTTTAAAATGCTAAAATGCCACCCATTCTTATGTTTCTGAACAGATTGGGTGATTGTAACATCACATGCAAAAGAGCATCTTAGTATCAGCTATACATGAAGAGAACTAATCAGAAAGGATGTGTAAAATTATTCATTTTTTCTTCTCTTTCTGATTATTGCTGAAAATGGTACCCTAATGATAAAAAAGTAAATTCTACATAGGCACACCAGATAAAGCAAAACAAAAATCTGAATCAAGAAAAGAAAATGCTTTGAACTGTAGAAAGCATATTAATGTTGTTTTTAGAATTTATATTGCCTTATTTTGTATTATCATGTTCACTATCAGCTTGCTTATTCAGTACAAAAGAATCAAATCTAAGTTACTTTGCTCAATTTAGTTGATGCACATGCTATACCTACACACATCACTGTATCAACTCACTTTTATCACGTTCACTTTCGGCAAGCTTACTGCAATACTATGGCTTCAATTGATTATGTTACAACCAACTTACAACTTCAGAATATGTCCCTTTCCCTTGGAGAGGAGTGCCACTAATGGGGATGTGGGTTGGGTGAGGGTAAGTGTTACAAAAATTAAATTAAAAACTGATGAAAAGGAATGTGTCCCTTTCTGAAGTGGTACACTATTTACCTTCTGTGTGAGGCATAGTTTCCAGTCACGTGGCCTGATCCATCACATCCAGGTGTTGGGCACCTAAGAGATTACACTGTGATTAATGATATTCACAGAAATTTGAAGAATGAAGTAAGGATCTACACTTCTTTAAAACAAATATATTTTTCCCTAAATTCAATTAGATTTTTTTGAAAGGTCAAAATAAACCTCTTTTATTTTTTCTAGTCAGTATCAATGCAATTGTTGGACAGTTAAGGTTTTCAACCAGACTCTTGCAGGATTATGCAGGTTCTGTGCAGTGTCCCCAGAGACACTAGTAGTGTATAACATCTATATTTTTTATGTTGGATCATTCCTTACAGTTTGTCTGTTATTTTCATTTCTACCTTCATTTATGCATGTAACAATCCAATTTAAATTATTGTAAATTTCACTGTGTTTTGATGTTTAAATTAATTATTCATGTCACGTATTGGGACACATTTCTTGGAATGGTGTACGTAAATAAAGAAAGTATTAAACTGTTTGTGTAAAAATGTACTTGTCAAAAAGGCCTGTCTGAATAATAATAAAGTAATTTCTAAGACATGGCCAAGCGAAAATAGAAAACGTAACTTTAAAAAATAAAGTGAAGTGAAATATCATAGTCATAATACTAAGTCATATTATTGCTGTGGAGTTCTGTACCTTTTTGTTTAAAAAATTGAGATGGTGTGTAAAAAACTAAATCATGTTGTTAAAACTTAAGAAAACTTACAGTGTCCTCCTTAAATCTTTTTTGATGGGTAGCTGTCACCATGGGTAGCATGGTATTGATGCCATCAAGTGTAATAATCACAATACTAGTGGTACAGCATTTTAAATATATATTCCCTTTCCACATTTCCAAAATATATAGGCAAGTAACCCTGACTTGATGAAAAATGAAACAATGATCCAGTTCATTACTAATGAACCAATTTTGTGCTTTTACCTTAATCTTCTTATCTGATGTTATGTTTGCACTGAGTATGTGCAAGAAACCACACAGATGCATACAAAATATTACACAACATCAACCTCACCCTTGGTGGCCAAAGCCGGCTTGAAAACAAGGTGAACCATACCCGTTTGATATTTTATTAATCGCCATGTGTGATAATGTGATAATATCAAATAAGTACATATACTGGATCATGCAATGTTAGAATGCAATACCTGTTTAGACAACATTTATTCAGCTTTCTCTGTAATCTGATTAAATAACTTTACATTCAGAGCACTAAACTCAACACACTTCCAAATGTGTCAGTGACGGTACATACTTGAGTTCCTGAGAATTGGCAGCCATTAGGGATTTGAGAGTCTTGTCAGCAAGCGGGCACCCAGAAACACTACAGAAATACAACACCACAAATTAATCAATGTCCCCTATTTTAACTATATTGAAATATTAGAAATGGGAGTTACTAAAATATCAACTCAGTTCAATTTGTAGTATTTGCCACTTACTAAATGTCACATATTTTTAAAAATCCTAAATACATTCACTCTGCTTTGTTTTATACTTCAGCTGTATCAACTCTATTATAATCTCTATACCCAATATTACACCTTTACATTCTGAAGCTTTCCTACTCTGAATGGATTCCAGCACTAAAAGATATCAGCTTTTTTCATCTTGAACAGCGAAATCAATGAGAGGATCCAATTCCAGCAATCAGAATCTTCAAATAAACTTTGCAAAAACTTCTTCAGAATCAGCAGTGTAACACAAACCAGAAAACACAAATAGAAACTACGGGTGCAGTGCTTTTACAACTGAGAACAGCTGCCATTTCTTTCCACAAAAGCTGGTGGGAATCATATTGCTGAAGTTGATATACTTGGCCTCTTTCAGGAGACAGCTGAAGTACAGTAGATCCTCAGATAATTTATTAACTAGCACCCAAACAGGCTAGATAGATCAAATGCCCTCCTCTCCTCCTCTCAACTTTCTGTTGTTATTACTATATTTTTTAGTGTTTGCCAGTACAGCTGATGATATTGAAGGAAATAAAGGTAATTAGGAAGCAGCATGGAGTAGTGATTTGACTCTCCAAACTCCATGGAGGACCATGTCTGGGAAAGACGCTGCTGTTGTACCTTTGTGCAAGGTAATTTTTGTATCTAGTAATTGTATCCCATAAAAACAAGCTAATCCAGTAAATGATCTGTTGTATAAACTGGTCCCCAAGTCAAAATAAATGAGAAAGAGCTCTCGGTTGAGTTACATGAAAAAGGATTAAAAAATGAATAAAAAATAATTTCATGGATTTAGGATTTCTGTTGTAAAGCAAACAGAAGCTTTTTCAGGGCCTCCAAAATTATAGATGATTTTAAACTCGATAAAGAAGACGTTTACCACTTTAAAACTTTACCTTCACTAAGATTGTATGGATATACAGCACACTTGCAGATTAGAAGCATATTGAACGTTAATGAAAGTGTTCAATGTTTTTTAATACCTTCGATGTGAAGCATAATTTCCTGTCACATGGCCACTTCCATCACATCCTGGAGTTGGACAGCTATAAAGGAGACACAATACATTTCAGCTTCCAACAATAATACTTAAGAATAATTTTTATATAATCACCTTTTTATCGTGAGGACCAATTCTAAGCAATTATTCATGATAAAACAACGTAAAATATATATAGTATCTAAAATGTAATGGAATCTGAAAATTAAGAAATAATTTTGTCTAATCATTTTAAAATTTAACTCAATAGTAGAGTATAATGTTTTATATTTTCATTTATCCTGTACATTAAATCTGTTGACTTTCTTGTGATTCATTTCAGTTCATCTTTTAGCTGTGGTAAACTGCAAACATTATAAAAAATCAGTTAGCATTTATACAACCTTTGGATTCGTAATAATTAATTATAGTGACTTTGTAACAACAAAAAAGACAGAGTACATTCCTTAAATTGTTACAGAGGTTAGTACAGCAAGAAGTGTTTAGTAGAAGAAATGAACTTTAGGAGAGTGTCTACAATCTGCAGCAACAGGCAAGGTCCTTTTAAACTTTAGTTAAAAAAATCTAAAGGTTTAATTTTCATACTACAAGTACTCAGTCCCAGATTATAAAATATGAATCTGAGTATTTCTACGGAGCTCAAAAAATGCAAACACATGCACAGTCTAACTACAAAAAAGGAGACTTGTAAGCTCAAATGAAGATGTATATATACGTATAAACTCACATTTACACAGATACAATTCTCCTCCAAATGAACCTGCAGATACATCAGTCACAGCAATGAATAAATATGTCTTATAGTATGTTGTACATTTGTACACTCTTCTCTGTTCACCATTTTTTCTTCACTAAGACATATATGCTGCATATTTGCTTAGCTACAGTGTTTCTCCTTATGTACACAAGCTTGTTTTTCTTTACTATCTCTGTCAAACCTGGATCCTCCCTTAAGCTCCGACCAAAGCATGCAAGATCCTTTCACTGACCTGTAGTTTGGAAACCTATAGGGACAACCTGCGCAGTTGTCAAGTTAGTACACCCTTTTGCTTTCATTTTAACAGCATGGTTTTCCAAATCCTTTAACAAAGCAACTGTTTTTCATTATAAGCATGCCAAAGAGGACAACACTCATTAAGTTTTGAAGAACATTTTCAAGTCTGTATTGTGGACAAGTTTCACTTTAGCACATCTGTGAGGCTTCTTCTTCCATACCTCATCAGCTCTTTTTTATTGTCCCTGGAGAACACTTTGGTCTTGGGACTTGGAATAGTAACATCACCAGGGTATTTTCTTTCCTCTTGGACTTCATTTTCAACTTCATCTTTCTGAAAACACCAAGATGAATTCGCTTTCAGAAGAGCTCAAACAGTATTCTTTCATTAAACCGTCATACTGCGCATTGAGAGGCTGCCCATTTACGCAAGTAAATCTGTAAGCTGACAATTCAGAGTGGGTGAGAACAGATTCAGCAGTAAAGCTTTTTTCATCCCCCCATTTCCAAAGTACATATAGAGCTGGTGATACACAGCAGCCATTATGCACAAGGAAGCCCAGCTACACAGAACATCAGGAAGAGATCAAGGAATTATGTCACTAACTGAATCAAGAGGGAGCTTTAGGCAATCTGCTGTATATTGTTCAAAAAACAAAGTGGAATTCACTACTTTACAAAGAGTGATATTGAATACTTAATAATAATCTTTAATAAGAAGCATGGACCACAGTTTAGCATCTCATTCAAAGGACAGTACCTCCTACAGCACAGTGTCTCTAGTTCTACAATTTAAAGCAGCAACTCAGTTTTCCTTAGATATCTCTCAATCCATTACTGACCAGGACCCACCTTGCACAGTTTCTGAGATCTGATGACCTCAGACTAAAAAGTGGGAATGCTACAGTTTGATGTGCTTACTGTAAACCATGCATTGATTAAAACTAAATTCTATGTGGATTTACTTTAAAAAGTAGAAATCTGTTAAAAAGCACCAGATGCTAGGGTAAATGTAAAGGAGTGCAACAACATGTTGTGTTTATTTGGGTGTAAAATATGACTCACTCCAATTATAAATTATTTTCTAAGATACAAACTTCACTTTAAATTGATAAGAGCAATTAAACTGTGATTTTCCAAGTGCAACGAAAATCATGACAATGTATCTCTCAATGATTTGATATTTATCGTTTTAAGGGTGATTTTGTCCATTATTTAATAGTGCGATTGATATTTGATGTAATTGTAATAGTGAAATTGTTTACCTAATTGTTGTTTCAACATACTGTAGAAGTCATTACATAACGTTCTGTATAAAGTACTATATATTGTTCAAGCTTTGAGTTTTACAAGATAAAAATATTTCACAAGCTCAAAAATACAAACAATATATTAAGACAAATCTTACATTGATGTGGTAGGAAATTATTATTGAATATTACATTTTATGGAAAAAAAATCATAACACTGTGGTATAATGGGAAAGTGAGATATTTCTTTTTTAACCCTTTCTCTAGCACAAATAATTAAAAAAGAGGTAGATTTGGATAACTTAGATAAGCGCTTATAATATACTATGAGAACAATGACTTTGAACTGCTTGACCACCCAAGTTTATATTAATCTCTTCTTTCTTTGCAAATTATATTTCTCATGAAAATTATGCAACTGAGCAAAAAATAAATTATAAGACCCACTGCAATACTTCAGGAAAAGTACTGTTTTTAAAACTAAAGTAGACTTGATTTGATAATTGTGTGCATGTACAATACATTCAAATAAAACATGTAAAACATGCATCATTGTTCATTACCTCTTTGTCTCTTATTATGTGTGCTTTGCTGTAATTAAGAGGAGTATCCCATCCTTCCTGCTCACATAGTGCCTGGTAAAACGCAGGGGTGACCCGGATGCTGCCAGACTTCGATGGTGAAGACTCAGGTGTAGGCAGAGCTATTCCCAAAGGCACCACAGGTGGAGCTTTTACCCTGTCACGATTCTTTTTCATGCTCAGGTCCAGTGTGCCGTTTTCGTCCACTTCAATAAGTACATCCTATGTACAGCATAATTACACGGTTACAGCTACAAAAAAATCACTCTAAAGAATGTACACTATATGATTTGGTAATCTACATTTAAATGTTCAGGTGGGTAGCTGCGTCAGCATGCGTAGGCTGCAAAGGAACAAGTAAAAGGTTTATTCCATGCTGGAAAGAGAAGAAAGAAAACACAACGTTTCGGGTGTGCCACACCTGAAGAAGGCTGAAGAAGGCTCCGCGGCTGAAACGATGTGTTTTCTTTCTTCTCTTTTCAGCATGGAATAAACCTATTACTTGTTCCTTTACATTAAAATGTGCCATGGGTCTGGTAACAAGAAACTGTAAAAATAATTATCCTTTTTTTTTAATTCGGTAAAAGAGCAGTTTCATACAACTGCCCAAGTTCACAATTACCACTGTAAGATCTTCTATACAGATGTTAATTAAAACTGAAGGCAGACTGCTAAATGCAAAATGCATTTACAAAGCTACTGAATTTCACAATGCCATTTTGACAGAACTGCATGAAGCACAGATTGATGGGATTCTATTTACTAGCAACACCTGTGTTACCAGTATTCTAAGACAGAACTAATACAGCTTCTGTTTTGTGGTTCATGTTCTGATACCATCACCTTTTCAATTCAATTATTGCATGCAACATTAATTTCATCATAGGAGGACATTTTACTGCTGCCCCCAACCAAAAATATAAACACTGACAGGATTAGACTGTCAGATTTGCACAGAAAAAATAAATACATGTGTACTGTATCTGCTTACTTTTTATGTGGATATAACTGTGCTTTAGTGACTATCTCTTTTCATTGAAAAGACAGTAATGCACAGTTATCACCACAGTATAATAAGGCCTGGATTGAAGCAGAACTTGGATCCTCTACCACAACTGACAAGTCTGATATTTAATAGTGGGTTTTCATTATGTAAGCAAGAAGCTCCCAGTTAAACAAAAAGCCATCAGCATGTACCAGGTTCTCATACTGCAGCTGGCAGAAGAGGTGAAGTTTTGATTACTTCCAGCCATAAATCACGGGCATGACTAAACTCAGGGTGGCCTAGATGGAAAACAACCATGTGGTTGGTAATAAATATTGGTCTGTGTGAAAATGTCTTCGTCGGAGTTAGTTTTGCAACTGTTATTAATAGTAGACAAGGCTCAACCAAAATAATGTCGTAAGTAGGCTAACACATCCCGTATAAACAGTATCATGATTAACACGTATATAACTGGCGGTATATATTTCAGTGTACTACTTCTGTCTAACTAAACTCACTTTCACTATTGCTTGATTTCCTTACACTTGTTGTCCATATGATATTTAAGTATTAAAGTGGTCCAGCACACCACAGGGAGTCAGAAAACAAATTGCTAAGAAACTGATAAATACATAATCCCATACCTTAAATTCAGAATCACAAGGTCTTATCTCGCTACACTTATTCTTTCTGGGAATCCTTAAAGTCATGGGGTTAACTCTGCAAACCCCCAAACCAAAATGTGCTCAAGCATTCTTCTTTCAATGGGTTTTCTCTGAACGTCTCTAAAACAACCGCACTGTTGTACTGGAGTTGATGAATCGATCAATCGATCTATTTTATTCAAAATAGTACTATTTTTCGAAATAATCCTTGAATTAAAATTGTAATCATTTCCATATCCATTTCCAATTAAATAATAATACTATGGAATATTCCTCTGGTTGAAAAATAAACAACAGTATCCGTAAATCTGGAATATTTTTACAACAGCTTTTCCATCAAATTGAGATGTTATTTAGCCACCTACAGACCAATGAATTTTCCAAACAAATTTGGTATTGATATTTAAAGTATTCCATTGTTATGAAAAGTTGTTCAATGTACAGTACGTAAATGGACATTTCAATAATGAATCTGAGAATGATGCAGAATAGATTTATTTATTCAGTTTTCATTAAAATAAATGGTTTTCTAATGGTGCTTCAATATACAACACATAATATTATGTATTTAATCCTTAAGATAAAGAGAAATTAGTATATTGCAGTTAAAAATCACCTCCTTATATACTGTACCATAAATAAACTCAGTTTATGAAAAAAGCCTTTATATTAGAATCATACTGTTGTGTTAAAATACACAGGTTGAATATTTTGTGAGACTACCCCCTCAAAATCCTTAATACATCTCCATTTAAATGTAAATTCTTGCACCATGATCCCTAAAGTGGTTATCTCCATTTGAGAAGGGAAATGGTTATTCCATACAGTCAATAATTCCAAGTTTTACTTCCCTTTCTTCCAAATGACCTGGCTCTCTGAAGTGCGCTACAAATATTTTATATTCATAAAGGCATTTTGATTCAAAGCAGGGCATGTGACAAATATGCAAACACTGTTTTATTCATTTGCTTATTTGCACCCCAGACAGAGCCACATGCTCAGCTCATTAAAAAGTATGAATTTAAATTGGGCTCTTCATATTGTAGGTGTGCATTGCAAAATCATAAACTGATCCAAATCATGTGTAGAACAGCTCTAAAAATCTCAAGTGACAGTTCAATTATATTTATCCTCTACTTTGGTGGTATTATCAATTGACATTAGTTGTTGACATTACTCATTTTGTAAGTTTAGATCTGGTTTTAAGAACCATTCAAGTCTTCCAAGTCTAGCCAACCCAGGTGCAGCATGAAGATGCTTTATAACACATGTAAGATTTGTTCTATATTGTTATGTAGGGACAAATTGCAGATTTAGAGGAAGCACCAAAGGGAGTTTAAAAAGGGTTAAACTTTTAAACTGATGCATATTTGATGGAAAGTGGGAGATTTTCAATTTGTGTGAATAAAAGAGCTCAGCTTATGAATCCTTCTGCTGATTGGTTTAATCCACTGAAATAGTTTTATAGGCCATCTGATGGAGATGGGCAGTAAAGGCTGATCTGACACAGCTTATCCTGGATAATATCTTACTAACCAGAATATCTTCTACCATCTGCATCATACCAGACAGAGGCATTATTTAAAGTTTTTTTTTTTTACAATAAAAGTATTAACCATATGCAATGCATGCTTGAAAAAAATACGGTCTAATTGCAATGGAAAAAGAAATGCAAATGCCAACGTTGTATTTTTTTCTTTTGATGTAATTACTTTTTTCCATTAAAGCTTTATGGACAAACCTCTTTGTTTTTCTTTCACTAGAGGCACAGTTGTCTGTGCCAGGATCCGTTGTTTGATGCTTAGTTTTTGTGCACAAATCAGGGCTGCTTTAAAATGGCTGCCCTCAAATACCTTTCCAAGCAGATTGGTTTGATTACCTTTGTGGACAGGGCCTGGGGCCTGGCAGAAACTCCATTGGCGGTCCCTCTGTATCTGGTAGACAGGTTAAGAATGGCGGCAGCCGCAGCAGCTGCATGAGCCTCGTCGCTATCAGGGTTGTAGCTGTAGGTGCTTGAATTACAGGGGCTTTGTCCTTGGGGAACAGTCATCCGACTGCTGGATGTCAGGGGACTGGCATACTGCAGGGAAGCTGTAACAAGGGCAGACACAAAGCCAAGTGAAAAAACGCTTCAACGTGTAGAACTGTCTGAGAGACTAACGCTGGCTCTGTGCGGTCACAATGGTTCTTTGGTCATGTTTCATGAAAAAATAACACCAAAACGTATACCCCTCCTCTGATATACAGTATATTGATAGTGTGACAGAGACACTGATTAATATAAGGAATTACTTTTTTAAAAGCTAGCTCCAAATTTGTTATGCTTTTCGAAGCAAGGGCAAGCAATCAGTAAAAAAGTGAAATCAGAAATACACCAATTTTTACAAATGTGTCATTATTTTATGATTGCAGTAATACACAGATCTGGAAATACATTGTGCTGCAACACTCTTAAGAATAATCTGTGATACTTGAATCAACATAAGAAAATGTGATATGGATAACGAATAAAGTGAAGGGTGGTATACATTTGTAAGGTTTCTTAGACCAGATTGAAATTCAGTTGAAGATGAAGTTCAAAAGTTGTTCTGTTGATGAAGAACAACTATCCCATGTCAAGGCAATAAGATAACCAGTTTAAAAAACTATTCTATACGTACAAATACATACTGTAAATATAAAGTGGTATACTGTTATAGAAACGATATATACAGCTGTTAAACATCTACAACCACAGATCAAATTAAATAGTAAATTCCTGAAAACAGACTATGCTTTTTTATTTATAAATGTTGAATATCCTCACGGAAGCTTACTCTGTTACATAAAAAATTAGTACTTTCAATATTTTTCAGAATTTAACAAAACAGTTGTATCTCTATAATGTCACTGATAAACACCTATTTTGTTTTAAGGCATAACAGACTATACTTCAATTGTTTAGTTTTTTGTCAAGTACATATTTATAATTATAATTCATTTTTTATATAATTTATATTTAAGACTTTTAGATGCAGGGAGAAGTTGCCCAGTCTTTGTAAGCAATGCAATTTTTGATAAAATGCAGTAGATATTCTGATTAATGCAAAAGAGAAAAATACTGGTCAATACTATTATACAATAAATGTTATGCATATTTAACTAACAAAATCATGTTATAGAATGATGCACCTGCCCAAACTGCATACAAATCTTTTATTCTTCAAAAGGTATTTGCCCCAACAGGTGTTAAAAAAGCTGATATGTAATAATGTGATGATTGGTTTTCGGTCAAAGAAGGTGAGAGAGATTGTCTTTAAATTATGAAGATTATGAATTATGGAGATGATTAGAACGAAGTGACAAAACAAGCACAAATATTAAGTCTGAGTAGTTTTTATTTTTAGTTGATTTAGTCAGAAAAAGTAAGATAATGATTTCTTTTTTTTAAGATAAAAAACATTATTATATACATAGTAGACTACAGTAAATATGTATACATATATACACATTTCAAACCTTTACCTGTGGCTAAACTAAATTAATTGTGGTGCTGAAAATTACCTTCAAAAATTAAAATTACCTTAAGAAGCCACACATCTAGTAGATAAATCTGTGCAATCATAGTGGTCCTCGTGATTTTAGAATTAAAGTGCTTGTCTCTGTGAGATTCAGGTAGTGAATGTCAAGTAAAGACTCAATCATGAAGACCCAGGAGCTTTTAAAGCAAGTCATTGACAAGCACACATCAGGGGAAAGGTAAAAACACACTGATTTCCCTGAATACAGTATCTCTGTGAGAAAAGTCTACTCATTCAGAGATCAAGAAATGGAAGTTGCATCATATTAACCTTACATACAGCATACAGATCATCGCCCTAAAATGAGCAACCAGGCAAAGAAGAAACTGGTGAAGGACACCACTGTTAGGCTACAGAGTTCAATGTAAAGAAAATGCACATTAGACAACAATATCCTGGTCACAAGCCAGTCTGTACTGTATGGCAGACAGGAAAATCCCATCTCATTTCCCACATGGAGACACATTTGTTTGCAATGTAGCATCTGAGTGTTCCTGTAAAAGATCTGCAAAAGATCCAACACAGTACGTTTCCCAGTCAATACCATCTCTCCAGTCAAGCTTGGTGATGTCACCATTATATTGTGGGGCTGCTACTCAGCAGGTACAGGAAAGCTTATTAGGATTGAAGGAAAAATTTATGGAATGAAGTACAGGCAT